AGCCGAGATCGTGCCACTGCACTCCAGCCTGGGCAACAAGAGTGAAACTCCATCTCAAAAGAAAAGAAGGGGATTATTTATGCACAGTAACTATTAAGTAAAATCAGTAAGCTGCAAGATTTTCTGTAGATTGTTGTCATGTTTCCATAGAAAGCTTATGTATTTCCCTATATCTGCGTCTGTGTCTAGACCAGAGCTCCTCAACCTACAAACTGCAAACACTTGGGGCTGGGTCAATCTTTGCGGTGGGGGCTGTCCTGTGCCTTGCAGGAAGTTGGGCAGCACGGTTGGCTTCTGCCCACGAGATGCTAATAGCAACCTCTTCCCAGGCTGTGTCAACGGCAACAAAAAAAAAGTCTCCCGACACTGCCAAATATGCCCCAGGGGCAAAACCGCCCATGGTTAAAAACCACTAATGGGCCTGGAGGGGTGTCCCTGGTTTATGTACCACGCCCAGTATTTAAAGGAGATCTCTCTACACCACGTTTCTATAGTATTTCAAATTTTATGCAAGTATTCGCTACTATTGCAATTTGAAAAATATGCCAATTATGCGCATATATGTGATTGACAAGTGACTGTCAATGTAGCAAGGTCCAGAAGGACATGAGAAAGGGTAATGGTGGCTGTCTACGGGGAGCACTCTCCTTTTATCTTCTATGCCCCTGTAAGGTTTGAAATTTTAACCACCATTTTTTCCTTCTGTGTTGGTGTGTCTTTACTTTTGTTTTTTTAAAAAAATCAAGAACCAAAGACCTTTGGGCAGGAGACGAGAGAGAAACCGAGAAGCTGGTCCAAGGTTTCCCAATCCCTTGGTGAGAAAACAGATCCCCTGACAACCAGCACTGCTGGTGCCTTCGTGCCCCAGGCGCACATCCAAGGCTGGGCCGCGGGACAGAGCTGAGCCCAGAATTCCCCACTCCGTAACATCCCGGCGCCCCCACCACCAGCGGGCCCGCAGCAAGGTGCTGGCAAACAGACAAAGTGTCGCATTTCCATGGCCTCTTCCTTCTTCCACTGTTGCTACAATATCAGCCTGTGCGTAGGGACAGATGAAACCCTTCTCCGGAAGCATACGGGGACGGCCCAAGCTGGGTGCTTTATTTCAATTCAGTCTAACAGCGGTGCTTTGGGGCTGGAATCCCTGTCAACTCTGGCATGGAAACTGAGGCTAGGAGAGGCCAAGAGACTGCTTTACACACAGCAGGCAAGAAGCAGCATGGAGATTCAGACGCCAAGTCTGCATGATCCTGAACATGGGGCCTCCTGGGAACACACATGGGTTCAATGCTTGACTCCACCACTTACCACTCTTAACCTGAGGCACACCCTCACTGCATGATCGTTGCTGACAGAATCCTAGCATTTCCTTTCTGCAGCATCCCCGTCCAGACTGGTCACCCAGTCCCTTTACAGACAAGAAAACTCCGGCCGGGCGCGGTGGCTCACGCCTGTAATCTCAGCACTTTGGGAGGTAGATGGAGGTTAAGAGAAAGAGACCTGGCTAACATGGTGAAACCTTGTCTCTACTAAAAATACAAAAAGTAGCTGGGCGTGGTGGCAGGAACCTACAGTCCCAGCGACTCAGGAGGCTGAGGCAGAAGAATCACTTCAACCCGGGAAGCGGAGGTCGCAGTGAGCCAAGATTGTGCCACTGCACTCCAGTCTGAGCCACAATGCGAGACTCTGTCTCAAAAGAAAACTCAGGCACAGGGAGGTGAAAGGTTTTGCCCTGCGTCACTCACTCTGCAAGTGACAAAGGTGGCATCTGGGGCCTGGTTTGCAGACGCCACATCACACAGAGCGGTGCTAAGTCCATTTCTACGTGCGCCTCACAACATCCCATGCTTTTCCTACCTCCAAACCATTGTCCATGGTGTGCCCTGCTGAGAATGCCCTCACCTCCCCTCGTGAGCCCACCAAATGCACGACCATCCCCCAAGCTGGGCTGCGGCCAGCGCCTCCTCCAGAACGCCCTGGGCCTCCTCCCCAGTCCTCCCTCTGCACCCTGTCACTCCCCAGTCTTGGATCACAGTGTCCAAACTCCCTCCAGAGATCAGAAGCTTCCAAAAGTGGTCCCTGTGCCTCAGATTTCTCCCCACCCTCATAGTTCTTCACCAGAATGGTCTCCTAGAACATGGGCCACTACCTGTTGGGTAATAGGCCAGATTTTAGTTCCAATACCAGCTTTGCCACTTACTGCTGTGTGACCTGGGACAAGTTACTTCACTTCTCTGAGCCTCTGGTTTTGTTTCTGTTTTTCTTCCCATCTGTACAGGAAGATAATCTCACCAACAGTAGGTAGTGTCAGCACCCTTCCCGACACTCAAGTAGATGCCACACTGCCAACACTCTAGAGCTTCACTGATGGATATCGGGGTGGATTTAAATTTGTGTGTGTGTTAGAAACAAAGTGGCTTCCTTGTGCAAGGGTTTCCTCACAGCCATTCTGCTTACGTACCCCGGAAAAGAGTGTGCTTGAAATTAACGTGATCCCTTCCGCCTTCCCTCCCCACCCACCCTCCTCCATCTCTTTCTTTCTTTCTCTCTGTTCTTCACTGAAGAAAGGGAGCCGGATTTTCTTTCTTCCACTGAGCATCGTGCCAGCCAGGTTGGAAAAGCCTGATTTTCCGTTGATGATCCCACAAACAGCCTCAGGCAAGGACAGAGAGATTGGAAAATACACAGCCGAGGTCCCTTGCCCCCTGGACAGGACAACTCTAGAGGTGCTCCATGCTGCCTCCCAGGGTCCCCAGTGAGGCTGAGCCTCAATGGCGCACCATGGCATCTGTGGCACCTGCCTCGCTTCTCTCCCCTGCTGGTTCTTCCTGGGATCACCCCCTTAAAAAGTGCTTACAAGGGTCTGCTTCTGTTGGAACCCAAAACCACGATGATCCCTCTTTCGAGGCTCATGTAAGATCACTTGTTCGTTCAACAAATAGTTCTTGAAATTCAATGTATGTCAAGGATGATACTGAATTCTGGGGATATAATAATGAATAGGATACAACAGACGGGCATACAGCAGGAGCACAATAAAGCTACCACTGATACTATCATTATCGCCACTGTAGGACAGAAGTGTAAAACAGCTGGCCCACAGGCTGTATGGGGCTAGCGGACAAGTCTTGTTTGAGCTGACGGCGATTTTAAAAATAAGTTCTCGGCCAGGCGCAGTGGCCCACGCCTGTAATCCCAGCACTCTGGGAGGCCGAGGTAGGCAGATCACCTGAGGTCAGGAATTCAAAACCAGCCTGGTCAACATGGTGAAACACCGTCTCTACTAAAAATACAAAGAATTAGCCAGGCGTGGTGGCACAACCCCTGCCATCTCAGCTACTCAGGAGGCTGAGGCAGGAGAATCGCTTGAACCCAGGAGGCAGAGGTTGCAGTGAGCTAAGACTGCACCAATGCACTCCAGCTTGGGCAACAAGAATGAAACTCCATCACAAAACAAAAAAGAAAAAGAAAAAAGAAAAAAAGTTCTCCTCATTTCCTAATGTGAAGATTACACATAAATATCAAGATTTTCTGATTCTCTTGATAAATAATGTCTGCCATCTCAAGGCCACCATTCCCACCTGTGAAAAACTAGCTGGGCCAGGCGTGGTGGCACATATCCGTAATCTCAGCACTTTGGGAGGCCAAAGCAAGAGGCTCACTTGAGCCCAGGAGTTTGAGACCAGCCTGGGCAACATGGCAAAACTCCACCTCTACAAAAAATAAAAAATTGGCCAAGCATGGTGGTGCACACCTGTTGTCCCAGCTACTTAGGAGGCCGAGGTGGGAGGATGGCTTGAGCCCCGGAGGCTACGGCTGTAGTGAGCTATGATTGTGCCACTGCATTCCAGCCTGGACAGACAGGGCATGAGCTCTCCATTTGCCGCAATCCACACCACTCCCAGGAGCCTCATACCCAGCCTGACTCCACTCATTTACGTACCCATGTGGGCCACACGAAATCTGAGTTTTGGCCCCCTGGACTAGATCTTTAATCCATGTTTGACAAAATTTTAAAAAGCTTTGGCACTTACCTTCTGACCGTCTCGAGTCCCTGACTCCCACCAACAGGGTCCCATTTTGGCCTCCGAATTCTCTCCAGTAAGGCTGGGCCTCCCTCTGGGCTGCTCTCGCCTCCTCTCCCTGGCTTCGTGCATGATGGACAGGCCCTCTCGGATGTTGGCGGGGGGCCCCTTCTCCGAGTAGGCCCTCTTGATATCCAGCGGCCCCCATCCACAGTCACGTGGGTGGTCACCCCAATGGGCCATACTGCCCTCCTCTCCCTGCCTGGTGGATTTTCTTGGGGTCCCTTTCTTCTGGTCAGTGGGGGGTGATTTGGGCGACACCCTGACCCCACTGCTTGGATCCTCCCAACCGGAGGGCTTTGACTCAGCCAGGTAATTCTGATACTTTGCAACGTGGTATTTACTGGCAAAGGCCTTTCTGTCATCCTCAGCAAACCCCAAGGTTTTTTTCCTGGGATCCACAGAGACAGGAGAGACCCCTGGATACTTTTCAGAAGGAGCCGAGTGTGGCAGAGCCCAGAAGGGAGAGCTAGATTTGGTGCCTATGGCTGCTTCTAGGGTCTCTGCCAGCTGCCTGCCTGGGCCAGGAGTAAAACTGTGGTTGATTTCGGCAGAGCTGGCCGGTTTCCAGAGACCCCCAGCATCAGGCACCTCCTTCAGGCTCCTCCTTCTCTGCTCCACCCTGCCTGGCTGGCCTGGCCTCCCCCGAGGCAACGTGCTGGACTCTGCCGTGGGACTCCTCCTCCTCTCCTGAGCCTCCCTGGGGACTTTCGGCGACAGCTCCTGGTACTCAGCCATCAGGGCATCAATGTCAAGAACGCTGGATCTGTAGCCTTCTCTGATTTTACCTGGGAACGTCTCACTGATCACATCAGTCTTCCTTCCCACAGGGAGATCCTTTGGACGACTCCTCAGAGTCGGGGTGGTTTGGGGAGTTTCGCCGCTGGGGGACACCTTGTTCCCACTTTCCTTGCGATCGTTCTGAAGATGAGGACTGTCTTCGGATCCCCAATGACTCCGTAAGGCATCCACATCAATGATTCTTCCACTGAAAGGGTCCAGAATCCTGGCCCCAAGAGATAATGGACGGTCTGTTGGCTTCAGAGTTTTTGAAACGCTTGCATTTTCATGCCCTCGTCCCTTCATCCACATTTGACTACCTGCCATCTCCAGTGCCTCTTCATGGCCAAGAGAAACCAAAGTGGATGTTAAAGAATGAGGAGAAGAGGGTGGAGTGATTTTTCTAGAATGTTCCAGCAAGTTTTCAGCCCCTGACAGAACCACGCCCTTTGCCTTTTGAGTAGTGGGAATCTGATAGGTGACTGCAAAAAATGTCGCCTTGGGTTCCACAGGTGACCCTTGCTTCGCTGCTGGGGAGGTCTGGTCCCATGAAGCGCCTGGGCTCACCTCCTGGGTCTCCACCCTGGAGTGGGATAGCTGAGGTTTTCTTAAGGCACTGGCTGTGGGGCTCACATATTCTGTCTGTCTGTGGCCCACCTGTGAAGAGTTCTCTGGAACCAGAGAACTGAACGTGTCAAACTTCACGTTGTGGGGTAAAGTCCGCCGCCGCCATCTGTCCATTCTCTGGTCCGTGGGGCTGGCTTTCCGCATTTTGACTGCAGGCTGCGGCACCCAGGCTGGCCCTAGATCACCCTCCCTGGCAGCCACAACAAAGGGCACTTTCTGCACAGAAAATGCATCTGGATGTGTTCGTGCTTGGGAGTCAGAAGGCCCATTCGTTGCCCTGGAAGGAGGATCCAGGGGGCATCCCTGGGGTGGACCCCTTGCTCCGGCCCCTGGCTTGCTTCTGGCCCCTTCTGGCCTCTCATGCTGGGTTTCCCAGACGGCAGCCTTGAAGGCCCTGCCGGGGGTGGTGCCGGGAGCACAGTGCTCTTCGCCACCCACTGCGGTGGCCTTGTGTGAGCTCACCACCACCCCGCCTATCCATTTGGGTGACTTCGACCCACTGGCCTCAGGCATCCCTCGAGCTTCCCAAATCAAACTGGCCCTTTGGACGGACCCTGCCTGACCTTCCAGACCATACTCCAGGTCAGTAGGGGTGACCTCCTGGGACAGCTGCCTGTCCTTCAGCCAGGATCTGCGGCTGCGGAGCGTGACCGCCTTCTCCTCCGGCGCGGGTGAGACGGGCTCGCTGTGCACACGCTCCCCCACTGCATGCACAACGTCATACCTGGGCTGAACCCTCTGGGAAGTGGGAGTGTTGTCCAAGGGGTTATTACTGAGTCTTTCAGCCAAAAGGTATTTTTCCTGGAGAGGCGTGTGATACGGTCTGAGTTCACCGTTCAAAAGGGCGGTTCTTCCCAATTTCTCCGTCTCAGGATGGTCACACCCCCTGGAGTTCTCTTTGTTGAGTTTTGTCACGTCTGGTGGGTCCCTGGCCAGCCAAGAGCCCATCTCAGGCCTCGGCCTGGGTTCTGAGACACGGGCATCGGCCATGTCACCAGGGGGTGTGGAAAGACCACGTCCGGACTGCTCAGCCACCGTGTGTCTCTCCACATGGTGCTCAAACATGGTGGCCCGCACAGTCTGGAAGCTCCGGTCATCTTCCCGAGTGATGTCAGAAGGGCACGGGGCCTCCACTGAGCTTTTACCGTGACGGCTGTCAGGGTCTTGGTTAGAGCTAACCGTCTGCTCCGTCCGCCTGGACTTCTCTTGGAGGGTCCCAGACTTCCAGGGGCTTCTTGGGGTGCAGGTTTTATCCAAACCATGCCCCTCCTTTTGCTGGAAAGAAACAAAAACAGAAAGAAATATCTCAATGTTAAAGGATTTGAGATGGAAAGGAAAAAGTGAGGTGACTGAAAGGGCCGTTTGCATAATTAAAACAATGAAATACTATAAAATTGAAAAGAATGAATACACCCAGTGTGGGTGAGGATGTGGATAAATGGACACTCAGATACTGCTGGAGACAACATAAAAGGACCCGACTTTGGGCAATGCAGTATATCTATCCCGACGTTAAAATACTCATTTCTGGCCCTGCAAGGTGGCTCATGCCTGTAATCCCAGCACTTTGGGAGGCTGAAGCAGGTGGATCATGAGGTCAGGCGCTCAAGACCAGGCTGGCCAACATGGTGAAACGCTGTCTCTACTAAAAAATACAAAAATTAGCTGGGCATGGTGGCTCGTGCCTGTAATCCCAGCTACTTGGGAGGCTGAGGCAGGAGAATTGCTTGAACCAGAACCTGGGAAGCAGAAGTCGCAGTGAGCCAAGATTGCGCCACTGCACTCCAGCCTGGGCTACAGAGCCAGACTCCATCTCAAAAAAAAAAAAATACTCATTTTCTTTTATCCAGCCAAGTTCCTCCCAGGACTCTGCCCACAAGCACAAGTCTACACCAACAAGAGAGTTGAGACAGCCCAGTTGGTGCGAGCAGAAGAACACAGAAGCAACCCTAATGCTCACTGAAGGGCACTGGCCAAAGCTTGCTATCCTATCCCAAACGATGGACTACTGCACAGGCATCTGTGACCACAGAAAGCAGCAGACCGAGCTGGGTGCAGTGGCCCACGCCTGTAATCCCAACACTTCAGGAGGCTGAGATGGGAGGATCCCTAAACTCCAGGAGTCCGAGACCAGCCTGGGCAAAATAGTAAGACCTCGTCTCTAGAAAAAAAAAAAGTCTTCTAAAAAGGAATTAAAGGCTGGGTGCAGTGGCTCACACCTGTAATCCTAGCACTTAGGGAGGCCGAGGTGGAAGGATCACTAGAGGTCAAGAGTTGGAGACTAGCCTGGCCAACATGGTGAAACCCCGTCTCTACGAAAAATACTAGCCGGCTATGGTGGTGCACGCCTGTTATCCCAGCTACTCAGGAGGCTGAGGCAGGAGAATTACTTGAACCCAGGAGGCGGAGATTGCAGTGAGCCACGGTCGCGCCACTGCACTCCAGCCAGGGCAACAGAGCAAACCCGGTCTCAAAAAAATAAATAAATAAAAAGAATTACATACTGATTCATGCTACATTGTAGATGAATTTTGAAAAACTGGCCTGACACAGTGGCTCCCAGCCACAATTCCAACACTTTGGGAGGCCGAGAAGGGTGGATCACAAGGTCAAGAGATTGAGGCCATCCTGGCCAACATGGTAAAACCCTGTGTCTACTGAAAATAAAAGTTAGCTGGGCGTACTGGTGTGGGCCTGTAGTCCCAGCTGCTCGGGAGGCTAAGGCAGGAGAATTGCTTGAACCCAGGAGGCAGAGGCTGCAGTGAGCTAAGCTCACACCACTGCACTCCAGCCTCGCAACTGAGGGAGACTTTGTCTAAAAAAAAAAATATATATATATATATATATGTATATATACATATAGATAGATAGATAAATATATTTGTAAGCGAAAGAAGCCAAAAAGCTACATATTATATGACTCCATTTATATACAGCATATAATATATATCTCATAGGTAAATCCATAAAGACAGAAAGTGGATTAGTGGATGCCTGGGAATGGGGGATGAGGATACAAGGTTTCCATTTGGGGTGACAGAAAATTCTGGAACTAGATGCTTGTACAACACTGAAAACATCCTTAATGCCACTCAATTGCACACTTTAAAATGGTTGTAATAAGGGCAGGGCCAGTTTACTAACCCCTGCTGTAAATGATGGAATGCCACTGAAGGGCTCTAAAATATATATAAATATATATTTGGTCTGAACAGTGTTTGACAGTTCAAAATATATATATATATATTTGAGTTCTTTTGTTTGTTTTGTTTTTGAGAAGGATTCTTGCTCTGTCACCAGGCTGGAGTGCAGTGGCCTGATCTCGGCTCACTGCAACCTCCGCCTCCCAGGTTCAAGCGATTCTCCTGCCTCAGCCTCCCGAGTAGCTGGGACTGCAGGCGTTCACCACCACACCCAGCTAATTTTTGGATTTTTAGTAGAGACGGGGTTTCACCATGTTGGCCAGGCTGGTCTTGAACTCCTGACTTCAAGTGATCCACCCATCTAAGCCTCCCAAAGTGCTGGGATTACAGGCACAAGCCACCACAACCGGCCTGTTTATTTTAATATGTAAATTTTACATAAACAATATATGAATCCATTCTGACTGTAAAAAAATCTAAACAATACAACAAAGTTCATTCCACTCTTGCTGTCTGCGAGAGAGTGCCGTCACGTAATCTTGGCTCACTGCAACCTCCGCCTCGAGGGTTCAAGCGGTTCTCCTGACTCAGCCTCCGAGTAACTGGGATTACAGGCATGCACCGCCCCGCTTGGCTAATTTTTTTTTTGTATTTTTATTAGAGATAGAGTTTCTCCATGTTGGCTAGGATGGTCTCAATCGCCTGACCTTGTGATCCGCCTACTTCAGCCTCCCAAAGTGCTGGGATTACAGGCATGAGCCACTGTGCCCGGCCAAAATTCAAATCTTTTTTGTTCCCTTGTTCAAATACCAGTCCCCCTTCCTGGAAAACAGCTCTTAGCAATGGGTTATGATCCTTGAAGAGCCTTTCAGAACTCTCTCTTTGTTGTATTATTTACATATATGTATATATATTAGACTGTGAATTTTTGAAACTTTATAAATTTTGTAAACTTCAAAAAACTCATTATTTTTCTTTAAAAATAGTTAAAATAGGGCCGGGCATGGTGGCTCACGTCTGTAATCCCAGCACTTTGGGAGGCCAAGGCGGGTAGATCACGAGGTCAAGAGATCGAGACCATCCTGGCCAACATGTTGAAACCCTGTCTCTACTAAAAAATAAAAAAAAATAGCCGGGCGTCATGGCACGTGCCTGTAGTCCTGGCTACTCGGGAGGCTGAGGCGGAAGAATCGCTTGAACCCAGGAGGCGGAGGCTGCGGTGAGGCGAGATTGGGCCACTGGACTCCAGCCTGGTGACAGAGCAAGACTCCATCTCAAAAAATAAAAAAAGTTAAAATAGTGTATTTTATGTTATGTGTACTTTTTTCCTTTTCTTTTTTCTTTCTTTTGAGATGGAGTATCACTCTGTCGCCAGGCTGGAGTGCAGTGGCACCACCTTGGCTCACTGCGATCTCTGTCTCCCAGGTTTAAGCAATTCTCCTGCCTCAGCCTCCCCAGCAGCTGTGGGATTACAAGCATGTGCCACCACATCCGGCTAATTTTTTTCGTACTTTTAGTAGAGACGGGGTTTCACCATGTTAGCCAGGATGGTCTCGATCTCCTGACCTCGTGATCCACTCACCTTGGCCTCCCAAAGTGCTGGGATTACAGGCGTGAGCCATGGCGCCTAGCCACGTTTAATGTTTTAAATCTGTGCTCTTTACTGTATGTCAACTGTATGTCAATTAAAGCTGTTTTTAAAAAAAAAAACTAAGACTCTGCAGAAAGCATCAGTCACAAACTGGTTATAGCTAGCAGTTATTTATGAGCTTTCTCTTATTAAATTGATCAGATAATAATACTTTTCAAGCAATTTAATTGCTGGTAACCTACTTCTTTCTGTTTTAATTTATATTCTTATTTTTTAGAGATAGGCCTCACTAGGCCGGGCGCGGTGGCTCAAGCCTGTAATCCCAGCACTTTGGGAGGCCGAGGCGGGTGGATCACGAGGTCAAGAGATCGAGACCATCCTGGTCAACATGGTGAAACCCCGTCTCTACTAAAAATACAAAAAATTAGCTGGGCGTGGTGGCACGTGCCTGTGATCCCGGCTACTCAGGACGCTAAGGCAGGAGAATTGCCTGAACCCAGGAGGTGGAGGTTGCGGTGAGCCGAGATCGCGCCATTGCACTCCAGCCTGGGTAACAAGAGCAAAACTCCATCTCAAAAAAAAAAAAAGAGGCCTCACTCTGTCACCCAAACTGGAGTGCAGTGGAACAGTCATGGCTCACTGCAGCCTCAAAGTCCTGAGCTCAAGCAGTCCTCCTGCCTTAGCCTCTGGAATAACTAGAACCATTGGCATACACAACCACATCTAGCTAATTTTAAAAAATATATATTTTTTTCTTTTAGAGATAGGGTCTCACAACGTTGCCCAGGCTGGTCTCAAATTTGTGGGCTCAAGCAATCCTCCCACCACCTCAGCCTCCCAAAGTGCTGCATTACAGATGTGAGCCACTGTGTCGAGCCACCTAATTCTTCCTTCTGTGGCTAGGTGGTAAGTAGGGGGACGGCATTAAGAGCCATTATGAAGGAGCTTGAGGGAGTTTCTGTTAACATCTTACACCTAAACGTTAGTATCTTAATAAGGCAGGCACTCCTACATATAAGAAAGCCATGCCCCTCTGCCTCTTTGCAAAGAAAAAAATACCTGATACATTGGTTAACAGCATTTAACATCTGGGAGTGCGAATCACAAGTCTTCATGCCAGAATAAACTTCAAAGTCCCAACGTTAGAAGAAAAAATGTTTTATCGTGTGCATGACATGTTTCTGATTCTTTCCTGGGTCTAGGAGATGATGGAGGCTCTGCTTCCAGCAGCCATAACTGCCTGCTAGTTAAAGAGAGATGTGCCACACAGCCACTCCTTACCTTTTCTCTCGGTTCCTTAGGAAGCTCCCCGCTCAGCTCAGCACACTTCTCATATTTGACTTCGTTGCTTGAAGCTGAACTTGAAAACCTGGTACAGAGATCCAAGTTACTTGTCCGGAGCTAGAAGCTGTTATTTCCCCCCAGCCCACACACCAACTCAGGAGCCCAGGCCAATTAACCTTCAGAAAGGACATTTCCTTTCCACTTACGGAGACGAGAGCTGCCCAGTGGGGAGAGCCTACCTTAAACACAGCATCGTGGGGTGGAAGGAGCCCCAGGCTGGGCGAAGACACCCGGGTTAGTGCCAACTCTACTGCCTCCTCACTGGGGGAGCTTGGGTTAGCCTTGTGACCTCACCTGAGCCTCTGTTTCTTCATCTATCAAAAGGGGATAATTAACACCTGCCCCTCCCTTTTATAGGGCAGATAAGAGGCTACTCAGGGCCCTAATAGCTACGTGAGGGCGTTTAGGGAAGAGTGAAGATGCCCCAGGAGGGATAATGAATGGCTGCTGTTAGCAATGCCAGGTAAAACAGCAGCCCCACCTCAGAGCAGCCCCCAGACTCGAGGGCAATGGGCCATCAGGGAATGTGTGGGGGCCCAGGTCTGTCTCTACCTCTCTGGATCAGCAGAGCCAAGTCACTATCCCTCTCTGGGCCTCGTTTTCCCTACCTTTAAAAGGGAAGAAGGTATAGAACTAGAATCTCTCCATCTCCGGAGAGCTCTCTGGCATAAATACCTGAAGATGTAGCATGTGCTTAGTTCGAAGCTGGGGACTTTGAAGAAAAGGAAAGGGAGAGAAATCAAACCATTAAAACTTAACCCACACTCCGGAAGCCAGGGTCTGCCTCCTGGGATGTGTGAGGCTGAGATGAGTTATGTCAAGCAAACTCAGAGCCTCAGCTTCCCCATCTGTCAGATGGGGATAATCGCACGGCCTCTCCAAGGCTCTTCGAGGATGTAATGAGAGGAAGCAGATGAAGACCCTGGCATAGGTGTCCTTCTCTGATATCTTAACTCAGGGGTTCTCAGGCCTGGCTGCACATAAGATTGACTTGGAAGCTTTTAAAACCTACCAAAATATGAGTGAGACCCTCCCCAGACCAAGTGAATTGGAATCTCTAGGGGTGGGACCCAGGCATTGGCATTTTTCTAGGTTATTCTAATGTGCTAAGGGCCAGTGGTCTAGCTTTGGCCCAGCTGGCTGTCCTGGTTCCCAGGGCCGCGAGGGCAGTCTGCCCAGAGATCCTGCCTTTGCAAGCTCCACCCCGGACAAGTATGCCAGTGGCATGCATGCCATTAAGAGCCGGTCGATCATGCCCGGTGGCATCTCTCTGTTGTGGCCACTTGTGGGAAAACAAAGAAGAGATGTCGGAGGTGGGCCAAGCTTAGAACACCATTATTAGCCAACTGACTTAGAATATCACAGGCCAGGTGCAGTGGCTCACATCTGTAATCCCAGCACTTTGGGAGGCTGAGATGGGTGGATCACTTGAGGTCAGGAATTTGAGACCGGCCTGGCCAACATGGTGAAATCCCTGTTTCCACTAAAAATACAAAAAAAAAAAAATTAGCTGGGCGTGGTGGCAGGTACCTGTTACCTCAGCTACTCGGGAGGCTGAGGCAGGAGAATCACTTGAACCCAGGAGGTGGAGGTTGCAGTGAGCCAAGATGGTGCCACTGCACTCAGCCTGGGCAACAAGAGCAAAACTCCAGTCTCCAAAAAAAGATCATTACTAACCAACTGACTTAGAAACTTAGAATATCATCATTAACAAACTGACTTGCCCAAATTACCTTCAGTCCTCTGAGTTTATTTTTTGGGCCACTCATAGAGGCTTAGGCCTAATCTTAAGTGTTCTCTCTGACTTTAGAGAAGAAAGGCTTAGCGACGGCTGGGCTGGCATGATAATCCAGCTCCCAACCTTCTGCTCTGCCTCCGTGACATGGGCACACAGCTCCCACTTCAATCACACAGCACATCCGAAGCTGAGAAAAGCCATGAAAATTGAGCTCTGGGCCCGCTGGCTGGCCGTCCCCTGCCTCTCCGTCTCTCTCCTTCCTCATCTGAGAAATGGACACTGCTGCTACCTCCTCTTGGGCTATGGGTGAACTGAGGGGGTGGCAGGTGCCCAGCGGGGAGCCTGGTTTCCTCTTCCTCAGGGTCTCTGGGTGGGCGACTGAGGGAGGCGTGTGGGACGTGCCTACTTACAATTTGGTCAAATCCGCCGACAGCGGCCGAGCCTGGAATGTCCTCCTCCTGACCTCGGGCCTGGCCTCGGAGCCCTCGGCAGCCCAGCCTTTGATCCGCTCCTGGACGCTCACAACCCCCTTCTCCGTCTCTGGTGCCACTGATGGGGACGCAGGGGTAGCCAGAGGGGGTTCGGACCCCACTGCCAAGGCCAAGGCGCTGTCCTCCCGAAACAGGCTGATGCACTTCCTGACACTCCCCCTGGAGACCCACTCGCCCCCGGCCTCCCCGTCGTCCGCCCTGCTCTTAACCTCAGCGCGTTCTAGGCCCCTTCCCAGCCTGGGCGAGGGGGACTCAGCAGCCTTCTCTGGCTCCAGGTCCATCTTGGCCTTTTCTTCCCAGGGACGCTGGTCATTGCTGGGGGTGACCCTGGCTGAGCCCCCCGGGGCTCTGGGACTGCCCATCTCCTGCTTCAAAAGCATCTTCTCCTTCCGTTCACGGATTTTCTTGGCCACCTCCAGGAAGTCCGAATCAGGATCACGAAGAGGAGCCTCCGCCTTGACTAGACACTCCTGGTCCGGCTTGCCCTCTGCTCTGGGCCTGTCCAGCCCAGCCGTGTCCCCGGCTGTGGGGACACTTCCCTCATCGGCCACCTTCCTCAGCAAGGCCTCTCTGTTCTCAAAGCGGGCCGTGAGGTCCATGGACAAGGGCCTGGGCTTCCTCACCCACGTCTTCTCGGGAGGGGTGGGGGGCACTTTGCCCACGGTGGCCACCGCGCTGGGGCCTGGCTTCTGAGGCTGAATGGACTCGGTGAAAATGGCGGACACGGGCCTTCTCTTCAGGCGAGGCCTGGGCTCCACCGTGGGGCGTGCCGTGTCCTCCACACTGCTGGCCTTTGAGGGAGGCTGGTCTTGGCCTGCCTCCTCTTGGGGTATAGGCGGCTTTGTGTCCCGTGACGGGGGCGCTGACCGGGGAAGGGTCCCCGCAGGCTTTCGGGTGGGCAGGGCGGGCTTGGCGGCCACCTCAGGCCGCGAGCCGGTCACACCCGGCTTGGCCTCCTCGGCCCCCTCGCTGCCCGCCTTCCCCAGCGTGGGGCCGCCTTTTGTGGTTTCGAAGAGAATCATGGTGTTGGAGCTGGGCCGCAGGAACGCAGCCTTGTGGAAGAGGGACGAGCCTGCCCTCAGGCCCTCCCCGCTGCCCACCTCCTGCCCCACCCAGCCGGGCATCCTCTTGTCCGGGTCCTTTGCTGCGGGCTCCTCAGGGGGCCCCCCAGAGGGAGAAGGTCCGGTCGAACCGGGCCGCGGAGATGGGACAGGCGACTTCACGTCCTGCTCCTTCGAGAAAGGTTTGGGGGCGAGCCTTGGCAGAGGGAGTAAGCGGGCCGGGCTCCGCAGGGGGCTCTTCGCCTCCAAGATCCGTGCTGGGGGAGCCCCAGAGGCATCGCCAGCCTGGAGGAAGTAGGTCCTCGTCAAGGTGTCCTCCTTGCCAATCTCACCCAGGCCCGGCACCGCCGTCAAGGGCGTTATGGAGCCCACCTCCACCCGCGTGGCCATGGCTACGGTCGTGGATCCATGGGGGTCAGGAACATCGAGAACGGAGAGGCACGTGCTAAACACACGAAACGAACAAAAAAGGACATTTGGCAAACAGTCAGTGTCTGGGTTGAAGCAGAATGGTTTGGAGACATGGGACAGAGTCCTGAGCCCCAGATTCCATGCGACAGCCCTCTGCTGACCTCGCTGGGCAGGCTGGGGCCTGCCTCGCCCCATCTCTGAGCTCTGGAGGAGGGAGTGGACTAAACGCCCATCCCTGAAGTGCGTTCCAGCTTCGAGGGTGTAAAAAGGCATCAACACTCGCTGGAGGACTTTTCCCTGACTCAGCTCATCTAGCGGCCAGCACTAAGGCAAAAAGCAGTGATCTCTGCTGTACAGATAAGGAAACCAGCTCAGAGAGGCCAAGTAATTGGCCTGGAGTCACCCAGGAAGTAAGAGGTGTAGTCAGGATTTGAAACCAGGTTTGACGCCAAACTCACACCACACACACTCCCTGCAAAAGCCTCAGCGGGAGCGTCCTCACATTCCCTCACTCCTGTTACCCTGTTTTCCCATTGCAGAGCCCGCCCACATCCCAGGTGATCCTCATCACAAGTGTGTGCTAAGCATCTAGCACAGAGAAGGCAAGTGACCTACTGCAGGCCACACAGCAATGCAGCTCAGGAGTGCCTGGGAGCACAAAGCTGGTTAGTGACCTTGGAACCCATGCCCTCGCCACCAACCCCACCCAATCGTCCTTTTGTCTCTTTTCTTTCCCATCCCCCACACTTCCAGATGCCATTTAAAAAAGCCATTCTGATTTTTCTCACTGAACCTGCTTTTGTTTGCTTTGTGGTTCTTTTTTTTTTTGAAAATGCATTTTATGCTAACTGCCTTCACATTCTTAATAAAAAGAGAAACATCTGGCCAGGCATAATGGCTCACGCCTATAATCCCAATACTTTGGGAGGCCGGGGCAGGTGGATCACCTGAGGTCAGGAGTTCAAGACCAGCCTGGCCAACATGGTGAAACACCATCTCTACTAAAGTAAAGTAAAAAATTAGCCAGGCATGGTGGCGCACACCGGTAATCTCAGCTACTAAGGAGGCTGAGGCAGGAGAATCACTTGAACCCAGGAGGCAGAGGTTGCAGTCAGCCAAGATCGCGCCACTGCACTCCAGCCTGGGCAACAAGAGCAAGACTCCATCTCCCAAAATAATAATAATAATAATAATAGAAACATCCAACAGTGAGGGCTTCCCATAAGTGAGATCTCGAGCTATGCCACGTGCTTCTTGTGTTTTACAAATCTCATCCTCAACACAACGTTCTTTAGTGGGTATAATTAGGAGACCCCATTTTGCAGCAGCTCGGGCAGAAGCCTCTTGTTCACCCCGCTAGCTGAGGTTTTCTCAAAGCAGGGCCCTTCCTCTCATTCATCCTCCAGGAAGGATCATTATCTCCCTCACGGAGACGATGGGGAAGGGCCCAGAGAGATCGCAGACCTGCCTACAATCACGCAGCTGAAACCTAACCCCAAGTCCACCACCCACTCGGCTCTGCCTTTTTAAAAATCATTTTTTCTTCCTTTCTGGTCTTAAAAAGTGCCAGGTAAGTTGCTGTTCTCGCTCCCCCTTCATGCCGGTGTTTTCCTTCCCTGTGAAACTGCCCCCGGCTGGCCCCCACCTAGATAGACTAAAAAAGTCCAAGGTATTTTAGTTAAACACAAGCCTCTCCACTTCCCTTCCTTGGGGCCCCACACTGCTCCCCCGGTTCTGACTCACTCAGCAGCCTCCAGGAAAGAAAGGCAGACAGATTTTGATATTTTCTCTTCCTCACACGCTCGATGGTGCTAACAGATTCCATGTCTCCGAACTGGAGAACACTGTCTAGACGCGGTTAGAAGCAGAATGGAGGGGCAGATATGAAGAATATGAGAACTGGAGAATTTACATCCACAAAGACCCCAGTCAGAGCTCTAAGGCTCCAGAATCCCACCCAGAATCAGGGCCATTTGCCTTTAGGGCCAGCCCCTGTGACCTCTGGAAACCCTGATCGGGGATACATACGTAATAGCCAGGACATGAGACATGAAACAATGACAGGATTCAAAGGACAGAGAGAAAATTCTCTGGCAAAACCCAAAGGCGATCTCCACGACACGGACGCTCCAGCCCTCAAGCTCGGGTCAAGCATGGACCCCACTTACCCAAGCTGGCAGGCCGTGGGTCAGGGGGTGTGACTGCCAGGGAAAGCCAATGGTGTCACATGTCATCGTCAACAGGGCTGTCCACACACTTCCATGGCAGAAACAGGAGGGGGGGAAGCAGACTCGTCCCAGCAGGCTGAGTTTCAGCAGGTCTGGGGAGATACGGGATGACAGCCTCAGTTCCGGAGTTCTGGCAGCATGGGAACAGACGGCACAAAAGCTTTCAGGCTCCAAATGCATCCGCTGGCATCTACTCCAGCTTGTAAAACGTATGCTCCTTTTGGCTTTTTGATTTTGTAGCCTTATATGTACGTGCGCATAAATAGTGCAGAGCCCACAGTACGTGCTCAATAAAAATCATCCCTGTTCTCTGATACATGTTTATTGAGCACCTATGGTGTACACAAAGATGAGCATGAAATATGCCCTGCAACCATGAAACTCAGTCTTCTGTAAGAAACACACATACACACACGCACATAAGCAATTACAACTGGGTAACAAATGTCACTTTTTTTTTTTTTTTTTAGACCGAGTTTCGCTCTTGTTAACCCAGGCTGGAGTGCAATGGCACGATGTCCGCTCACTGCAACCTCCTCCTCCTGGGTTCAAGCAATTCTCCTGCCTCAGCCTCCCGAGTAGCTGGGACTACAGGCAAGTGCCACCATGCCCAGGTAATTTTTTGTATTTTTAGTAGAGACAGGGTTTCACTATATGTTGACCAGGATGGTCTCGATCTCCTGACCTCGTGATCCACCCGCCCGGCCCAAATGTCACTTCTTTAATGTGGATGTGGGGGCAAAGAGGAGGATTAATTGCCTAGAACTGGAACTGGTGGTCCTGAAAACCTCACTTGACTTAGAGATACCTACTGAGCATTCAAGGTGCCGACTCATTCAGGAGCTGCTTCTGCTCATCAGCAGTATTTGGACATTGCACTTCTTCGAAGCCCTCCAAACGCCTCCTCAGGGCCTTCACACATGCTACGCCTGCTCCCTGGGACAAGCATCTTGCTCACACACAGATACAGACACAGACACACCCCTCAGACATCTCTGTCCCCCTTCAACCTGGTACAACCCCCCCCACCTGTTCAAGGAGCATCACATACACCTGAAGGCTTGGCAGAACTCAGCATAGCTGCACTGCTACGTTTCATAGGACATCATCTGTCACATCAGCCTCTCCCATTCTAGGGTAGGCCCCCCTGGGGACACCCCAAATCCCTAGCAGCTAGCACAGCAGTCTGGCACAGAAAAGCACCAGATACATGATTATTGAACAGAGAAATAAATCATTGTTGAGTGAAAAAGTCAATGAATGAAAAAATATTCTTCTGCCCCTGCTGCCCACTCTCTAAGATGCTAAGTCCAGGTACCATGAACCTCATGCCAAATGACTCTAAGCAGTCTGGGACCTACGATGAGTTACTCTAACTGTGGCTGTGGCTGCTGGATGACAGAACCAAAGAGCTGCAAAGTGTTCAGCCAGAAGCTCAATCCACCACCCCTCACCCGGAGACCCCTATCAGTTTCACTGGGGGCCACACAGCGGAGCTCCACCCTGAGGGCAGGCACCTGCTGCACCAACGTCACACTGTCACGCCAGCTCACCTGCCTAAATGTGGAATGAATGCTTCTCTGCATGAATTTTCCCGGGAAAAGAGTCACCAACAGCAACCGTCTGCTGGGTACACAAATGTCACCCCACTTTCGGATCCTTGAACCCCTCTCAGTGACTATACCGCATGGAAGGAAAAGGGGAAGGACAAGAGAAACTAAGACCCTTGATCCACAGTACTCTGCACCAAACTGTCCCTCTGTGACCCGTCGTCTGCTTTAGGTCTTGAATTACCTGCCAAGTTGCCACTGCAAATGCCCAGCAAATGTCTGGTATGTAAATACAGTTGTGCAAATAAGTCAATGAATGAATTAATAAATTAATAAATCAATGAATGAATTAATAAATCAATGAACAAAGAAAAGTAAAAGGAGTTTTTCTTTTGTTTTGTTTTTTGAGGCAGAGTTTCGCTCTTGGTGAGATCTCCACTCACCTCAACCTCCACTTCCCAGGTTCAAGAGATTCTCCTGCCTCAGCCTCCCGAGTAGCTGGGACTACAGGCATGCGCCACCACACCATGCTAATTTCGTATTTTTTTTTTTAAGTTGAGACGGGGTTTCTCCATGTTGTTCACATTGGTCTTGAACCCCCAACCTCAGGTGAACCACCCAGCCTCTCAAAGTGCTAAGGATTACAGGCCTGAGCCACTGCACCTGACCATAAAAGGAGTTTTTAAACTGCCATAGTAGATGATTCCGTAATATTTTAAAGTCCTACCCAACCCTAGAAACCCATGATTCTCAGGTTTTCATTTAACTTACTGTAAAATACAAGGAAACCAATTTAACTGTATGCTTTCAAAACCTTCCTTTAAATGTATCACATATGTTACACTTGATTTAAGAGATGTTAGTCTCTTCCAAAACATTTCTGAAGCCCACTTGCAGAGAGGCCAGCTGCTATTTATTCTTGGGGTGGATGTGTTCACTATTATTTATTTATTTATTTATTTATTTTTATTTGTTTTGTTTTTTTAAACAGTCTCACTTTGTAGCCCAGGCTGGAGTCCAGTGGTACAATCTCAGCTCACTGCAACCTCCACCTCCCAGGTTCAAGCAATTCTCCTGCCTCAGCCTCCTGAGTAGCTGGGACTACAGGCGCATGCCACCACTCCTGGCTAATTTTTTCTATTTTTATTATAGATGGGGTTTCACCATCTATAATAAAATGTGTTAGCCATAATGGTCTCAATCTCCTGACCTTGTGATCTGCCTGCCTCAGACTCCCAAAGGGCTGGGATTACAGCCGTGAGCCACCATGCCCAGCCACCCAGCCTCTCCTTTTTTTTTTTTTTTTTTTTGAGACAGGGTCTTGCTCTTTCCCCCAGGCTAGAGGGCAGTGGCACAATCTTGGCTCATCGCAGCCTCCGCCTCCTGGGTTCAAGTGATTCTCCTGCCTCTCAGCCTCCTGAGTAGCTGAGTTTACAGGCACACGCCACCACACCCAGCTAATTTTTGTATTTTTAGTAGAGACGGGTTTTACCATGTTGGTTGGGCTGGTCTCGAACTCCTGACCTCACGATCTGCCTGCCTCAGCCTCCCAAAGTGCTGGGATTGCAGATATGAACGACTATGCCCAGCCAGCCTCTTTTTTAAATAGTATATTAGCTGAGCATGATGACCAAAGCCAAGTCAACAAGAATTACCCAAAGAAAGACGGGAAACCAAGTCTGAGCGACTTCTAGTTTCAAAAGTATGTAAATTATCACAGAGGGCAGCACAGGGAAGATGGAGACCAAGGCATCCATCTGGGAAGGTCAGGAGGCTGTGGTGGGACCATGACAGAGGGGACATCAGTCTGACTCCAGGCAGTGGGCTAGCAATGAGTGCTTCTCTACTGTTGCTGAACCTGCCAAGTCCACAAACTTCATCTCCCCAAGCTTAATTTGCAAAGTGCAAAATTCCCATTTTCTGCCTTTGGTACGGGAAAAAATCATTTATCTGAGAAGGGAGTCACCCAATAGCAACAGGATCATTGGAAAGCATTCATTTGTCCACCCTTCTGACCCTACTTCTGCAAACTCTCACGGCCACCCTCCCAAGCGCCAGGCTCTGTGCATGGTGCTGGGGACACAGCCACGGAGCTTGAAGCCTCCTGGGGGAATCCGAGCTATTCACAAGAAAGAAGGGAAGAAAAGCACTTCCATTCAAAACCAAACAGTTTGGCAGCTTTTCTCCCAGATTCAGAGAGGTTGATTCATTCTAATAGCTGTGGAGGATCTTTCATAATTACCCCCTTAAATTCTATCTGAGAGCTTATCCGTCATTTACTCAGCCATCTCTGGCTGCCACTTCCTGGGAATGCCACCATCTGGCGAAGGGCGTGGGCTGGTCCTGACACTTTTCAGCATCTTCCGGTATGTGACCTTAGCCCCAAAATCTGCAAATCCATCCTGTGCAGTGAGCCATGGAAAGAGCCAGGAATGGACTGGCAAAGCGCATGCTGGTGCCCTCCCAGGGGAGAAGGGCTGCTGTGCACGGGAGGTCTGCCCTCTGGGGGTGTCAGACAGAAAGGGCCCAATCGAAATGTCAAGTATCACTGGAGTGCCTGCATCCTCTGTCTCTGTCCCCACGACTGTGGAGTGTGCTCACTCCTTCCTTCTTTCCTTCCCTCCTTCCCTCCCTTCCTCCCTCACTCCCTCCAATATGCAATTATCATCTACGTACCAGGCTCTGGGCCAGGCGCTGGGGACACAGCAGTGAGGAAAACAAATGGAAAACCCTGTTTCCATGGAATGGACATTCAAGATGAAAAAAAAGACAAAAACAACAACATAAGGACAATCTCCAGAATGTTACATAAGTGACAGAATAAGACGGAATGTGAGAAGGGCTAGCTAGGGAGGATTTCACTGAGAAGGGACATTTAAAATCAGCCTCTGGCCACGGGCCATGGCTCATGCCTGGAATCCCAGCACTTTGGGAGGCCGAGGTGGGAGGATCACTCGAGTCCAGGAGTTTGAGACTAGACTGGGCAACATGACAAAAAAAAAAAACCCATCTCTACTAAAAACTACAAAAATCAGCTGGATGTGGTGGTGTGTGCCTGTAATCCCAGCTACTCAAGAGGCTGAGGATTGCCTGAGCCCAGGAGGCTGAAGTTACAGTGGGCCAAGACAACACGACGGCGCTCCGGCCTGGGTGACAAAGCCAGACCCTGTCTTAAAATCAGCCTCCTGACTGAGGAGCCTGCCTCAGCTGTGGCCTCCTCCAATCCATTCACCTAGCAGGAGCCAGGGATGATGCTCCAATGCGCAAGTGCCAGGATGTCATTCCCCTGCTCAACGCCCTCAGGTCTCCCTGCTGCCCTCTGAATAAAGACCAGACTTCTTCCCCAAGGCTCTGCAGGATCCAGATCCTCTTCATCTCCCCAGCTTCAGTCTAATGACTGACCCCAACCCATCTGTCTGTCACACACACTCATATACCAGCACAATCAACCCCAGACAGGCCACAAGACATAGAGTACATTTCCTCACCTTCATGCCTCTGCAGCACCCTTACCTCACTGCCTACCTAATCTCAATGCCACCTCCTCCAGAAAGCCTCCCCTGATGCTCCAGGGCTGGGGCTGGTTCAGGGGCTCCCGTGCTGCAGTATCTCACTTGCTGCTTCCCTCTTGCCCAGCACAGAGGAATACCTGCTGACTACCTCTGTTTCCTCCACTAGACTGTGAGCTTCTAGTAAGAAGGATCCTGGGTCCTGTTCATGGCAATATCTAGAGTCTGAACCATAAGGGCCATAAAGTCAGTGTGCAGAAAACACCTGAAAAGAAGAAAATAATAATATTCAATGTAGACGTGAGTGTGGGAAAACGGATTTGCTTATCTGCTGCTGGCAACGAT